GGGAGAGCCCAGTGCAGGCAGTGCAGAGGTGGGTCCCCGCTCACGGGGGTCCCCGGGTGCTGTGCGTGGGATGAAGGCTCAGGGATTCACGTCCCGCTCTGGCAGCAGCCAGTGGAGCCGGAGCGTGTCCGGTCTGTCCCGACTCTGTCTCCCTCCGTGCAGCCCGGCCTTGCCTCGTGGCAGGAAGCAGGAGGGAGGCCAGGTCGGGGTGACCTGCAGGGCCTGAGACACCCCGGGATCCACTCGGGACTGGGTGATAAAACAGGAGGGAGCGAGACCTTCCTGGGGGGTTCATACAGTAGGTGCCCAGTTCCACTCTGGGGAACCTCAGTCTTCACGTTTCCGGATGTTTGGAGCAAATCCAGGTGCTGTGATTGGACTGAACCCACGGGATGCTGGGGCTTGGCCTGTGTGTTTGGGGTGGGTGAGGAGCAGATGGTGATCCAGCAGTGGATGGGGGGAGGCCGCACTGAACCCCAAAATTTGACAGAGCCATGGCCAAGAGGGTCAGGACCAACTCCATGCTGGTGGCTTTGCTGGAAGTATCCCAGTGTTGGCAACCTCGTGGGCTGGTGCCCACCATGGACTGGTGCCCACCACTTGCCCATCCCGCTGCTGCCCAATGTCTTTCCCTTGCAGGCAGCTGTGCTGGCCCTGAGCTGCTGCCACGGGCACCATGAGGGGTCTCTGGGCCCTCGTGCTCACGGCGCTCGTCAGTGCCTGCGAGGGGAAGGAGCTGCCGCCGGCGGAAGGTAAGGGACACCACGAGCAAGGGCTCGGGGTCTGCACGGGAGCAGCCCCCTCCTTGCATGTCCCTGGGGAGGGTTTGGTCAGCCCTAGGGATGGCAGGGTGGCTGGAGACACCGTGGTCCCCACGTGCCACGGCTGGAGCGGTGGCTGTGGATGGACATCGGCTCCCTGCTGAGCGCCGGCTACTCCAGGCTGCGGGGCTTTGCTCAGCATCCCGTGTGGGCAGGGGGCCAGGGAGAGCTGAGCGAGCCCAGCCGTGGGGAGCCAGCCCAGGGACACCCCAGCATCACCCCCGCAGCCCTGGCCGTGCTCGTGGAGGGACTGGGCTTGGCCGCGCTCCGGCCGCGGGACGCTCGGTGCCAGCTGGCAGCGCCGGCGGCGCGTCCGGCAGCACGTGTGGGGTAGGTGAGCCAGGACCTCTCAGGGCTGTGGCAGGGATGCACAGAGCTCCCAAGGGAGTTTTGGCCTCCAGCTGCCAGCTGGGAAGAGGTTTGGCCACGGTCCACGCCGTGGTGGAGGCTGCCCACGTGCAGTGGGGGACAGAGGGACGATGGCTGAGCCCACGGGGGTCTCTGCCGGGGTGTCCCTGGCCAGGGGGTCGCTGTGCCTGGGTCCCGGTGTGGGAAGAGCTCGAGGCGGATGCCGGGGAGGAGCCGCTGGCAGCGACGCCGTGGTTGCATCAGGCTTTGTGGGGGTGGAGCAGTGGCTCGTCCGGGGGGCCCGGGTTTGCCCGTGGGAGGGACCCACAGCCGGCACCAGCTCCTGCTGCCCGGCACGGCGTGGCTTCCCATCTCCTGGCCTTTTCTTAGGGCTGTGAGGCTTGGACAGATGAGATTTTCCCTTAGGATCTGCACCAGGGCTGGGAGAGGCTTCAAAGGGATCAGGCCGGGGTGATTTATGCTCTGCTTTCCGTCCCCTGGCCTGCTGAGGATGATCTCAGTGCCAGCAGGAGGGAGCTCTGCCCCCGGCTGGGACACTCGCAGCCCCCCCTGCCACTGCTGTGTCGGGGGTCCCGAGGGTGAGGGCACCCCCCCCCACCACTGCCGACCCCATATGAGTGGTCAGCCTGGGGGAGAAGCACTGAGGGCCCTCTCTGAGGGCAGAGATGGAGGTGGGCAGTGGAGCTGGAGGGGGGTGTCAGACATTCCCCCAAGAACAACCAAGGAAGAGGCGAGTGAATTGGTGGCCATCCCTGCTCCAGGGCTGGTGTGCATGGAGGCAAAACAAATTCCTCTTTCACTACCCCCTTGTTTACTCTTTTATCTCACACCTCCCAACATCTGGTGCATTCAGAGGAGGTGGATTGATGCTGCTGAAGCAGTGATTTATCAGTGCAAACAGCAGCAACATCCCCGTGATCACGGCTCACATGGCATTTCCAGCCTCTTGCTGTCCCCTGGCTGGACTCTAAAGCCTGTCCCCTGGGCCACTGGGTCTGAGCTGTCACCAGGATGGGACAGGAAGGCCAAAGGGCAGCCCTGGGTGCCATCTCCCCACTGTGGGTGTCCGTGGCACCCGTCCGAGTCTCCTGATGCTGATTCCAGCTGCAGAAATGTTTTGAGGCAAAACACACAGGAACTGGGAAAAGCATTTCACCTGGTGAACTGGCTGTAGGAGATGAAGGGGCTGGCTCTCAGCTCACTGCCTGTCCCCTCCAGACTGCTCCTGGAGGGCTCCAGCTTCTCTCCTCCAGGCACCCAGGAGCCAGTGCTGCTGTGGGAGCAGATCCCTGCTGGATCTGTGCTGCCAGCAGCTTTGAGGGGCTGGGGTGAGCTCCTGGAAGCACCCCGAGACCCTCTTGGGCTTGGGGAGCTCTGTGTGTTGCCACCCTGCTTGTCCCACTGTGCCCCTGGGGATGCTGCAGTGATGTTGATGTGCTGATTTGCCTTGCAGGGGAGCTGTGCCCGCAGCTCTGGGACGAGGACCTGGCTGGGGACAAGTATGAGAACATAACGGGTAAGGAAAGCCTCTCTCATCCTGCAAACGGGGTCCCTGGGCAGCCCTGGCACCCTGGGGGTGGGCTCTGTGCCCTGCCTGGGGAGCATCACGGTGTGGCAGGGCCAGGTCTCACCTGCTCCGCTCTGCCCCGCAGGTTTTAACCTGATTAAAAGGTTCGACCTGCTGAGGATCTCGTCCGTCAAGAAGATCCGCAGCCCCCGGGGGCCGACAGTGCTGCGGCTGGGGGCTGTGCCCCTGGTCCAGCCCACCCAGTGAGTGTGGGGGGGCTCCGGGGGTGGCCCTGGGGGTGACCCACGGGGTGGCCCTGGCTGACTAAAGCTCCCCCGGGCACCATCCCCATGTGTTGTAAGGATGGAACCCACGGGGAGCTGGGTGGGCTTTGCCCTGAGCTCGTGCTGGGGGCACCAGGCAGCTCCACAGCACCCCGGGGGATGCAGGGGACCCCGGGGCTGCCCAGACACCTTCCTCCTAGAAAGTAAATCAGGGGCTGTCGCGGCTCAGCTGGGAGGTGGCCAAACCTTACGCAACCGGTGCTCTGTGGCTGCTCTGTGGTTGTGCTTGGCAGGCGCCCGCGGGGTCTAGAGGAGCTCAGGACACTGCACAGCTCCGAGCAGGCACTGCAGGGCCTGGGGGGGGTCTGCTGGGGGAGGCACACGGAGCCTGGCCCTCGTCCTCCCTGTCTCTGGGGCGTCCTGCCCAGCTGTGCCCGTGGCTGTGCCGCCCCACAGTGCCAGGGCTGGCAGGGGGTGCTCCAGCGTGGCAAGGCGGGAGCAGATCCACGTCCTCGGGAGCTGTTCCTGGAGGAAACCGCTGCGGTTTGCACGGCTGCCTCCTCCAGCCTGTCCCCACATCGCCCCAGGGCTGGCACGCAGCTACAGCGGGCATGGGGCTCTCCTGGGGGCGAGGAAACCCAGCCTTGGCTCCTGACCTGGGCAGCCAAATCCTGGGGTGGCTTCAGGATGGCTCCAGACTGGTGTTGCTCTTGGCTGGGTGCCTGTGGCACCCCAGATCCAGCCGTGGGGAATGCTGAGTGGGGGATGACCACCCTACCCAGGTTCTTAGCTCCAGGTGGGCGCCTCTGGGTGCCCATCCACCTCAGTGCCCAGCGAGGATGTCCCCGTGTCCCGTGGAGAGCAGAGGGGACCACCAGCTCTGTCCTGCTCCCCATCACTTGGTCCAGCTCCAGAGGGGTGGTTTGGAAAATCGCTGGCGTGGAGCTGAGGCTGAGAGCGGAGCAGAACCCAGAGCAAATATTTCCAGTGGTTTAGTGGGCTGTGGGAGAGCTGGGCACAGTCCCACTGGGGAGCTGCCACGGCTGCCATCCAGCCCACGGAGCCTTGGGGGTTGTGGCTGTATTTCCTGGCTTCCCGGGGGAAAATTGGATACCGTGGGGATAAGTGCGTGGCCCTGGGTGCTGCAGCCACCCCAGGAGGGCTGTGTTTGGGGTGCAGGGTGTGGGGCAGGGATGGGGAAGGTGCAGCTGGTGCTGAATCCACCACGATGGCATCTGGGATGCCACCGGTGGGGACAGTCTGGCAGGATTCACGGGGGGCCCTTGGGGTGATGCTGCCACTGGGTGCCACAGGGATGGGTGCCACAGGGATGGGTGCCACAGGGATGGGTGCTGCAACCAGCCTTGGTGCCAACTCCAGTCCGAGAGCCTGGTGCAGGGTCCGGTGCCCCTGACACCCATCCCCACAGGCAGGTGTTTCCTCGTGGGCTACCCCCCACCTTCACCCTCATCTTCACCTTGCTGCTGAAGAAAAACAGCACCGGGGAGCACTGGTACCTCTTCCAGGTCACCGACCGGCAGGGATACCCGCAGGTACCGCCCCGGGAAGGCGGCGGGATGCACCAGCAGCGCGGGGACAGCCAGAAGCCGTCCCTGAGTGTTGTCCCCTCTGTGCTCAGCTCTCCCTGTC